TGTACTTCCCACCTCCAGGACTGTAACATCCTCACTCATCCTTCAGAGTACAGGTACTGTACTTCCCACCTCCAGGACTGTAACATCCTCACTCATCCTTCAGAGTACAGGCAACTGTACTTCCCACCTCCAGGACTGTAACATCCTCACTCATCCTTCAGAGTACAGGTACTGTAACTTCCACCTCCAGGACTGTAACATCCTCACTCATCCTTCAGAGTACAGGTACTGTACTTCCCACCTCCAGGACTGTAACATCCTCACTCATCCTTCAGAGTGCAGGTACTGTACTTCCCACCTCCAGGACTGTAACATCCTCACTCATCCTTCAGAGTACAGGTACTGCACTTCCCACCTCCAGGACTGTAACATCCTCACTCATCCTTCAGAGTACAGGTACTGCACTTCCCACCTCCAGGACTGTAACATCCTCACTCATCCTTCAGAGTACAGGTACTGTCACTTCCCACCTCCAGGACTGTAACATCCTCACTATCCTTAGAGTAACAGGTACTGTACTTCCCACCTCCAGGACTGTAACATCCTCACTCATCCTTCAGAGTACAGGTACTGTACTTCCCACCTCCAGGACTGTAACATCCTCACTTATCCTTCAGAGTACAGGTACTGCACTTCCCACCTCCAGGACTGTAACATCCTCACTTATCCTTCAGAGTACAGGTACTGTACTTCCCACCTCCAGGACTGTAACATCCTCACTCATCCTTCAGAGTACAGGTACTGTACTTCCCACCTCCAGGACTGTAACATCCTCACTCATCCTTCAGAGTACAGGTACTGTACTTCCCACCCCCAGGACTGTAACATCCTCACTCATCCTTCAGTGTACAGGTACTGCACTTCCCACCTACAGGACTGTAACATCCTCACTCATCCTTCAGAGTACAGGTACTGTACTTCCCACCTCTAGGACTGTAACATCCTCACTCATCCTTCAGAGTACAGGTACTGTACTTCCCACCTCCAGGACTGTAACATCCTCACTCATCCTTCAGAGTGCTGGTACTGTACTTCCCACTTCCAGGACTGTAACATCCTCACTCATCCTTCAGAGTACAGGTACTGCACTTCCCACCTACAGGACTGTAACATCCTCACTCATCCTTCAGAGTACAGGTACTGTACTTCCCACCTCTAGGACTGTAACATCCTCACTCATCCTTCAGAGTACAGGTACTGTACTTCCCACCTCCAGGACTGTAACATCCTCACTCATCCTTCAAGTGCTACGTACTGTACTTCCCACTTCCAGGACTGTAACATCCTCACTCATCCTTCAGAGTACAGGTACTGTACTTCCCACCTTCAGGACTGTAACATCCTCACTCATCCTTCAGAGTACAGGTGCTGTACTTCCCACCTCCAGGACTGTACCATCCTCACTCATCCTTCAGAGTACAGGTACTGTACTTCCCACCTCCAGGACTGTACCATCCTCACTCATCCTTCAGAGTACAGGCACTGTACTTCCCACCTCCAGGACTGTAACATCCTCACTCATCCTTCAGAGTACAGGTACTGTACTTCCCACCTCCCAGGATTGTAACATCCTCACTCATCCTTCAAGTACAGCGTACTGTACTTCCCACCTTCAGGACTGTAACATCCTCACTCATCCTTCAGAGTACAGGTGCTGTACTTCCCACCTCCAGGACTGTACCATCCTCACTCATCCTTCAGAGTACAGGTACTGTACTTCCCACCTCCAGGACTGTAACATCCTCACTCATCCTTCAGAGTACAGGTACTGTACTTCCCACCTCCAGGACTGTAACATCCTCACTCATCCTTCAGAGCACAGGTACTGTACTTCCCACCTCCAGGACTGTAACATCCTCACTCATCCTTCAGAGTACAGGTACTGTACTTCCCACCTCCAGAACTGTAACATCCTCACTCATCCTTCAGAGTACAGGTACTGTACTTCCCACCTCCAGGACTGTAACATCCTCACTCATCCTTCAGAGTACAGGACTGTACTTCCCACTCCAGGACTGTAACATCCTCAACTCATCTTCAGAGTACAGGTACTGTACTTCCCACCTCCAGGACTGAACATCCTCACTCATCCTTCAGAGTACAAGTACTGTACCTTCCCACCCCCAGACTGTAACATCCTCACTCACCTTCAGATACAGGTACTGTACTTCCCACCTCCAGGACTGTAACATCCTCCACTCATCCTTCAGAGTACAGGTACTGTACTTCCCACCCCAGGACTGTAACATTCACTCATCCTTCAGAGTACAGGTACTGTACTTCCCACCTCCAGGACTGTAACATCCTCACTCATCCTTCAGAGTACAGGTACTGGTACTTCCCACCTCCAGGACTGTAACATCCTCACTCATCCTTCAGAGTACAGGTACTGTACTTCCCACCTCCAGGACTGTAACTCCTCACTCATCCTTCAGAGTACAGGTACTGTACTTCCCACCTCCAGGACTGTAACATCCTCACTCATCCTTCAGAGTACAGGTACTGTACTTCCCACACCTCCAGACTTAACATCCTCACTCATCCTTCAGAGTACAGTTACTGTACTTCCCACCTCCAGACTGTAACATCCTCACTCATCCTTCAGAGTACAGTACTGTACTCCCACCTCCAGGACTGTAACATCCTCACTCATCCTTCAGAGTACAGGTACTGTACTTCCCACCTCCAGGACTGTAACATCCTCATCATCCTTCAGAGTACAGGTATGTACTTCCCACCCCCCCAGCGAAACATCCCACTCACCCTTCAAGTACAGGACGTACTTCCCACCTCCAGGAGAAACATCCTCACCACCCCTTCAGATACAGGCACTCTTCACCCCCTCCTTGACGGTGACCTACTTGTTGGGGGGTTTGGGGGGGACCCGGTCACTCCCACAGCCCCACTACCCCCACCCTCCCCCACTCCCTGCTCAGAATAAAAATTTGTCGCTGCATCCTTTTGCCAGTGACATGTCTGCTGTCGCGCAGAGCATGAGGACGGAGTACCGAGCCTTCACGGGGACTGATCTACTAGCATCACTTACATTTACTATTACAGTAAAGCTTGGTTATACCACTAGTAAACCAAGATATATACCTCTCAGTGTATATATACCTCTCAGTGGATATGCACTGAGACATGTATATCTCAGTTTCATATACACTGAGACATGTATATCTCAGTTTATATA